GGGTGGGAGCAGGGGGGAGAAATGACCCAAGCCTTGTATGCACATATGAATAAAAGAAAAAAAAAAAAAAAGCTGGTGGAGTGGCTCAAGCGTTAAGTGCCTGCCTAACAAGCATGAGGCCGTGAGTTCAAATACCAGAGTTCAAATACCAGTATTGCCAACAACAACAAAAAGAGTATTAAAAAAAATTCTATTTTAAAACAAATGCCCAAGGGAAACACAGGTGAAGAGTAGGACGAGAAGAGGGTTAGGAATGCAAATACTGAAGAAACCCAGCTCTTAAAACAGGCAAGAAGAGCAAGCAAAGGCAATCAATCAGGAGCAATTATAGATATGAAAAGTTCCTCTACCCCATCAAGCATTGTGAGGGAAGTACAGTTTGAAGAAAGAGTGTCAGCAGACTCAAATGTTGAAAAGTAACATAAGGATCCTAAAAGTTTTAACTATTAAACACAAATGACCACCAGAATATACTTAAAGCAGCTATTGTCTTGTACCGACCAGATTTAGTTAATCCTTAATGCCAGCACATCACATCACATTTCATTCCATTGGAATTGAGTATTTGTGTAAATTCAAGCCCCAGTATTGGTTACTGCCCCCTTCTCTGGATTGCTCATACAAGTCCTACCAAGATAATCCATATCCATGGGTTTGGCAAGTTTAAGTATTCATTTTTCGGCTACAAAAAAAGGAAAGTGAAATTGAGTCTGAGGCCCACTAGGACCTCGGTCCTTTTGCTCCTGTAAATATTTTACTAATAAAATCCTTTCCCAGATTAGATAACTTTTAACTTCTATACTGAGAGGCATATTATTTCACTGAGCCTTAATTTTCTCATTTGTAAAAACTGGGTAAGAACATCAATCCTACTTCACTACTCTCGTGGGATTTGGTCAGAATAAGGTGAGCTTTGGCAATCAGGGTTGTCTCAGTTTGCCTCCTCAGTATCTGAACTAGAACTGGACACAGGGAAGGGATGCAGCAAATGCTGGCTGCATTCTAATGAGTATTTGTTCAAAGGCTCTGTTAGGGGAAGCCTTTCCAAGTCAAGTGCTATTTATTGTAATTCCTCAACCTTGACTTAGGTCCCCAAGTAACCAAATTCAAATTTATCCTGATAGGTGCTGGGGGTGGGGGAGGAAGGTGGCTGGAGAGCACTCTTTTTCCCAAAAGAATTCTAATGAAAGAATCGTTTGCTGTACGAATAGGGTTTCAGGAAAGTTCCCTGATCTGCCTAGCAGACTGCGGCTTGCAAACTCCCTTCTTTTTGCAAACATCGTACCTGCTACAGAACTTTTGATAGACCTAAGTGATCAAATCCTACAGTGAATCCCTTGTGCTGTCACCACGAAACTTTTCAAAGCTGCAGCAGCTTGTCCTCTCCAACGTCGGGTAACCTGAGTTAAGGCCGCGCCACCGGTTCAGAGTTGCGGAGGGGCCCATCTCTCGAGAGGCCTCCTCAGTGCAGCCTGCGGGTTGCTGCCGTCAGTCAGCGGGGCGACCGGCCAATAGCCAGCGGGCTGCCGCTCGGGGGTTTTCCTCCGCGCGGGCTCGAGGGGCGGAACCAGGCTGGCGCCGCGGGCCCCTCCTCCCAGGCGGAGGCGGGGCGGGGGAGATCCTGTCCAGGACAGGCCTCCGCGGCGGGGCGGTCCTGGCGCCGCGGAGCTCTCTTTCCGAGGCCTGCAGCTCGAGGCCTGCCCGCGGGGTTTCTGCTCCCCGCGCGGACTTCGCCCGCAAGGGCGGGCGTGGGGGCGGGGCCTGGCGGTGGGGGCGGGACCAGAGCCGCAGGCCCCTCCTCCGAGTGCGGGCCGGTTGGCGGCGGCAGCGGGGGTCGTCTGCGGCTAGGCTGCGAAGCGCAGCGAGCTCTGGCTCCTCCCAGTGGCCGGCCCAGGCGGAAGCGGGAGGCGGAGGCGGCGTGCGCGCTGCTGATCTCCTCTCCCGCGGCGCTGGGGCCCGCGCTACCAGGCTGCTGCTCCGCTTGGCGCTTCTCGGGCGGTCGGCTGGTCTCCACGCCCGGCTGCTCTTCGACCAGGCCTTCATTTTAGCTTCGGCCCACGGTTGCCGACCTTCCCGGTGCCCTCCCGCCCCGTCTCGTACTCTTGCCGCCATCGCTGCGGCCCGGGCCCCGATGGCTCTGTGCAACGGAGACTCCAAGGTCAGTTCCTGGCTTGGGGTCCCTGCCTCACTGCCTTCCCGCGGACGCGAGATCCCGCGGCTGGGGAGCCCCGCGGGGAGCCCTTCTCCGCCCCTTTCCCCAGCCGGTCGGCGTCCCCCCGCGGCCCGGGCAGCGGCGCGTCGGAGAGTCTCCAGTCGGGCCTGTGGCGCGTTTCTCGTCGGGAGGACGGGGCTTTGTCGATTTTGTGTCGTGTCGCGGCCGGGGCGTTGGGGAGGGCTCCGTTCCCCGCGGCCGCGCCACCGTCCCCGCCTCCCCCGCGCGGCCGCGGGGAACGGAGCCCGCGCGGAGGGAGTGTAGCGAGGCGGGCGGGGGGTGCGGGGCTTCCTCACCTCGTCCCGCCCTCCGAGGGGCTGGGGGTCCGTGGTGGGGTCCCTGGGACCCGACGGAGGCAGGCGGCGTGGCGGCGCCTGGCGTGCGGCGGCCGAGCAAGGCCGGCCTCTAGCCTTCCCGCCACCGGGTTTCCCGCCCGCCCTCGGTGAGGCCCGCTCCGTGTCCCCGCGCCGGCCTTCGGGGGTCCTCGGCCACGTTCGCGTGACCGCACCCTTCTCCCTCCCACCCACCGGTCGGGCTCCCGCCCTGCCCCGCGACCTCGGAGGGGAGAGGCTGCGTGTCCAGGTCCTGCTCTCGTCCAGGTCGCTCCCGTTTCTTGTGCTGTTTGTGGGGGACCCCTTTTCTGCAGGGATGCGGGCCGGGGAGTCGGGAGCTCCGGCTGCTGGGGAAGTTGCATCCTGGACGTGCGGAGCGACTGAGCTTGAGCCGCGGCCGCCCCGCGCTCCCCGCGCGGCGTTCTCAGAGCCGGCCTCCTCCGCGCTGCTCTCAATCCCGCACCTTCGCTGTCACCTGTGGGTCCTTGCAGACCTTCGCCAAGTCAGTGTTGTCCCGGGAAACTGCAGTTTCGGGTCGCGACTACTTAGGCAAGGTGCATCTCCTGTATGCTGATCATGGCCCCGCTTTAGGAAATTGCTTGACTACATTTCTTTACAAACTTCGGGGTGGGAGTTGGTGAGTTACGTCTGAGCAGTCCTTGCTCAAAAAGAATTTTAATACTCTTACAAAAGTGTGTCTTAAGTGTCACGACTCGGTGGGTCCTGTCCGTGAATGGCTTAATACCTGGTAACCATTCAAAAATGTTTATTAACCAAATGAGTAAAGATTGAGGTATCAGTGTACTCTTAAACCGAGGCACCCACCGGTGATGCTTGGTAACACCTGGAGCTTTCTCAGGACGGTAAAGCTGAAGACACCCAAACCTTTAGTTTCTGTAAATCTCAGCGAACCCCGCTTTCTTGTACACTAATTGACTTGTAAACCTTTGTCTTCTTTAATTTTCAAACTTATAGCTTCGTGGGAAGATTCATCTTTCCCCCCACCTTTTTTTTTTTTTTGCAGTACTGGAACTTGAACTCAGGGCCTTCATCTTGAGCCACTCCACCAGCCCTTTTTTGTGAAGGTTTTTTGCCCGGGCTGACCTGGAACTGGGATCCTCCTGATCTCTGCCTCCTGAGTAGCTAGGATTACAGGCATGAGCCACCGGTGCCCAGCTTTCCCCAACTATTTTTAATTAATGTATATTAATTGTAAAGAAAGTCTCATTGGTAGTATTTCTATACATGGACTTAAAGTACTTTGATGAAATTCACCCACTCCATTACTTTTTCATATCCTCTCCCACCTTCATCTTTACGTTGGTAGATGAATAAGCTGTAATATTACAAGGACTCAAACCTTGTAGTGCGTTTGAGAAGAGTATTTTTACCAAATTAAGTGACACCAGAAAGTTCAAGATTCAGTTTTTAAGTTACCTGTCTCAGTAGTACATAAGATACAACTTTCTCCCCAATTTTTTTTTCCACAAAACTTGGAATTTTAATGAGAATCTTGAGTAGTTTGCTATATTTGAACCTCAGACTACTTAAGTATACTTTTTTTTTTTTTTCCAATGGGAGTGGGGTTTGAATTCTGCTTCCAGCTTGCAAAGCAGATGATCTAACACTTGAGTCACATCTCCAGTCCATTTTGCTCAGGTTAGTTTTGAGATGTGGCTGAGTGACCCCCTATCTCGAGTCTCCTAACCTCAGCCTCTCAAGTAGCTAGGATTACAGACAAGGTTACTGGCATCTGGCTAAGTAAATTTTACTTAAAGATCCTTTGTGTTTGTATGACATAATTAAGCATTAAAAAAAAAGTAGCAATCAGATGTGGATCAAATTGGAAGCATTTTCTTTTTTTATTTTTTTTGATGGTACTAAATTTGAACTCATGGCCTCACTTTTGCTAGGCAGGAGTGCTTCCACTTGAGCCCTTCAACCAGTCCTGGAAGCATTTTCAAAAGGAGCATTTTAGGGAAATAACATTTAATCAAATGTATGATTATTTTACTACTCTTAAAGAGGGGTAACTTGGCAATTAAGCCATAACATAAGTAATTAAATATATATTTAAGTATGAGGAAATACACACAATAAATAGTTGAAATGATATTTCTAAGAGGCCCACTTGGAAATTTGAGTAGGAGTCTTATTTTCCATAGCCCAACCCTGCACCACCTTTTCCTTGGAAGTCAAGTACAAGTACAATAGGCAAGCTTGCTTTGTACATTGTTTGTGCCTCTGTTGTGTGTAAATCCTAGTTCATAGACTGAAAGTTGAGGAAAGGCTGGTTTTGGTTCCTATTTCTATTACATGTCATTATTAGGATTTTCTAAAATGGGCATTTTTGTATGGTAGAAACTAGGGAGTGAGGCATTTGGGCTATTTTTGTTAATTTCCTATCAGTCTTTTAGAGTGGAAAGGACCTTTATGAGTTTGAGCTCCCTAAACTGAAAACACATAGTGGGATTAGAACCTAGCTTTTCTTTTTCTTCAGGCTACTTTGGTTAGCCATCCGAGGCAGAGACTGTTTTCTTAGTTAAGGAACTGATGTGTTATTTAAAGGTTATACATATATTACTCGTAGATGGAGTGTTTTATATGACAGCATAGATGGTTGGCTTTTCCTAAAAAACTTTTTTTTTTTTTCCTTTTTCTTTTATTATTCATATGTGCATACAAGGCTTGGTTCATTTCTCCCCCCTGCCCCCACCCCCTCCCTTACCACCCAGTCCGCCCCCTCCCTCTCCCCCCCCAATACCCAGCAGAAACTATTTTGCCCTTATTTCTAATTTTGTTCTAGAGAGAGTATAAGCAATAATAGGAAGGAACAAGGGGTTTTGCTGGTTGAGATAAGGATAGCTATACAGGGCATTGACTCACATTGATTTCCTGTGCGTGGGTGTTACCTTCTAGGTTAATTCTTTTTGATCTAACCTTTTCTCTAGTACCTGTTCCCTTTTCCTATTGGCCTCAGTTGCTTTTAAGGTATCTGCTTTAGTTTCTCTGCATTAAGGGCAACAAATGCTAGCTAGTTTTTTAGGTATCTTACCTATCCTCACACCTCTCTTGTGTGCTCTCGCTTTTATCATAGTCCAATCCCCTTGTTGTGTTTGCCCTTGATCTAATGTCCACATATGAGGGAGAACATACGATTTTTGGTCTTTTGGGCCAGGCTAACCTCACTCAGGATGATGTTCTCCAGTTCCATCCATTTACCAGCGAATGAAAACATTTCGTTCTTCTTCATGGCTGCATAAAATTCCATTGTGTATAGATACCACATTTTCTGAATCCATTCGTCAGTGGTGGGGCATCTTGGCTGTTTCCATAACTTGGCTATTGTGAATAGTGCCGCAATAAACATGGGTGTGCAGGTGCCTCTGGAGTAACCTGTGTCACAGTCTTTTGGGTATATCCCCAAGAGTGTTATTGCTGGGTCAAATGGTAGATCAATGTCTAGCTTTTTAAGTAGCCTCCAAATTTTTTTCCAGAGTGGTTGTACTAGTTTACATTCCCACCAACAGTGTAAGAGGGTTCCTTTTTTAATGTAATTATTCTTAAGACTATGTTTTAAAAAATGAAAAATCTGGGATTGGAGATAAAGCTTAGTGGTGTAATGCTTTCATAGCATGTGTGGGGCCCTGGCTCAACTTCTGGTACTATAAGAAAATAAAACTCTGGGTCACATGTTAATCTGCGTGAGATATCTGAACAGCAGATGTAAATTTGGACCATTCTTGGCAATCTGGGCTTTATGATCTCTCGGTTATGGAGCACATGCTGTTCTGAGTTTGCGTCTGATTTCTCTAATGATATGTATTTAAAATTTGGCTAATATCTGAGCCAAATCTGTATACATTAGGGCTGTTTTTCTGAGTTAATAGCTATGCTAGTAAGAGTTACCCTAACATTCTTGAAAATCCAGTGTCATAAGTTGTTTTTAAAAGTTGAGAATTGACTGGAGGTGTGGCTCAAGCTAGAGCACCTGCTTTGCAAGTGTAAAATCCTGAGTTCAAACCCCATTCCTATCAAAAAAAAAAAAGAGTTGAGAACCAGCAGTGTTGAAACTGACCAAAAGGTAAAGTACTCTGTTCTAATCTGACATAATGTCCAAGGGTATAATGGTCTCTGTTTTATCACCTGGGAGACCAGAAGTCTTTATCTGTCGAAACTCAAGGAGAGCCACGTGAATTTAAATCACTTGCACCTCTTGTGTAATTTGGAGAACTAATGTCGGTGGTTCTCCTCAGTCTCATTATGATTGTAAATCTAAGACTTTAGATTTTCTAAAGTCCTGCTTTGGACAAGTTTTAGATAAATAATCCCTACTTTATTTGAGAAGTTTTAAATGAATAAAAATACTTGTTGTTATTGATAATAATGAAACTTTTGTGCTTTTCTTTTTGGCCAGCAAGTTAAAGGAAATTTTAGTTAACACACGTATCTACCATCTAAATTCTACCATTCGCTTTACTTATTATCTTTATCTTTTTCTTTAAAAACATTTAGCTCAAAAATTATTCTTTTGTTGAGCAAGTTTTGTTTTGTTTTGAGATCGTCTCTGTGTGCCTCTCAAACTAGCAGTCCTCCTGCTTCATCCTCTCCAGA